GGGATGCCTTCTCTCAGTCTCTCTGTCTCTCTCTCTCTCTTGCGAATGGAAAAAAAGAAAATTTTATTAATGTTAAAAACAAAGATGAAACAAAAAAAAATAGACAAAAACCAAACACCAAGTGGGAATAGCACTAGGGGTTTCTGCCTGGATACAGCCACGTAGCACAGGGTAAAGAGTGGTGTGCGCCGTCTTTCAAGGAAAACCTTGCTGGGTTTTGAGCTGGTAGACTTTTTCTCTAGTATAGAAGAGACACTATTTCCCTTTCAAAATTTTAAAATGGCTGCGTATATATTTTTTTAATTGTCAGAAGGTGCACATGCTACCCAGGGAGAGATGAAAAGACAGAGACAGGGAGAAGGCACTTCTATTGTGAGGCCACGCCACAATCCCTCGTCCTCCATTTCTCCATCCGGTCGGGATTGGGGCACACACACACACATATGCGCCTTTTTCAAGCTGCAGATTCAAACCACAGTCAGCCACGTGGGATCCAGCTTCCTTAACTACTAGAGCACGGGGCTGGCCCAGGGCTGTGTGCTTTCTCCAAGAGCACAGAGGTGATTACAGCCAAGGGCAGCCTGCTGCCAAGGTCTTGGATCCAAAAGATGCAGGTTTGGGGTCTTTCTACCCTGCTCTCCCGCTCCGTAAGCCAGGAGGATAATTCATCTCAACGCGACTCAATTCTCCTACGGATGGAGCAGCTCCAGGCAGAGCAGACTGCGCTGGACAGACGTACCTGAAAGGCCCGCAGCTCAGGGACGGCCTGTACCGAACGATGGCGAACACGGTGGGCAGCATGCACAGGAAGAGCATGAACAGGAGCATCGCCAGGTAGAAGTTGTTGGATCTGCCGAGGAACCAGACGGTGCGTGTTGAGCTCACGCCGTAGCCAGCGGCTCAGGCTGTAAATTCCCGAAGAACCAGCACAGAAAGCACCACCCAGCTCCTCGCAAGCAGGAACATCCCTGTCCTGGCGGTACCAAGGAATGGGTCTGCCAAAGGGTCGCACACAGTGTACACCTTGAAACTGGTGCTCCAGGGGACTTGGCGGAGCCGCCAGTCCAATTGGGTATCAGAGAAACACTTGCTGAACACCCGTCAGCCCTGAGCCCACCTCTGCATCCACTGCTCCCACCACATAACCTTGACTGATGGAAAAGTCATAGAACGTTGCCCAGTGGCCTGGGTCCTGACCCAGCGGGTCCCACCCCCATCCCAGCCTTGAGCTCGCCTCCGGCGGCAGCGTGGCCTGGTGGTTAGGGCCGCCAGACCCCACACAGATAACAAGGTGGTTCAAGTCCCAGAACTGGAGGCTTAAAAAATATGCCGGGCATGGACACATCCATGCCCGAAATTCTGAAAGGAGGGAGAGACGGAGGAGAAGGGACTGTGGCGTGGCTATGTCCCAGGAGACACTTTCTCTTCTTTCTGGTAAACACATATAACCCTCTAGCTAAAAAGAAAACAAAAAAAAAAAAAAAAAAAGAAGACGACGACTTTAAATGTTCCACATGTGTTGTATCAAAAGTGACTTAAAACAATTGCGAGATTGGGCCAGATTGACAGTGATGCTGCTATAACACATCAGTCTGCAAAGTTGGCCTACAATTGAAGGTCCTGAGTTCGAATCTGAAGACCTCCCTGAAATGCAGGGCACACTCATGCCGGCGATCAGGAACGGGCTGAGGCTGGGGGTGGGCCACAGGGTGCACACGCTGCTGGGGATGCCATCTCTCAGTCTCTCTGTCTCTCTCTCTCTCTTGCGAATGGAAAAAAAGAAAATTTTATTAATGTTAAAAACAAAGATGAAACAAAAAAAAATAGACAAAAACCAAACACCAAGTGGGAATAGCACTAGGGGTTTCTGCCTGGATACAGCCACGTAGCACAGGGTAAAGAGTGGTGTGCGCCGTCTTTCAAGGAAAACCTTGCTGGGTTTTGAGCTGGTAGACTTTTTCTCTAGTATAGAAGAGACACTATTTCCCTTTCAAAATTTTAAAATGGCTGCGTATATATTTTTTTAATTGTCAGAAGGTGCACATGCTACCCAGGGAGAGATGAAAAGACAGAGACAGGGAGAAGGCACTTCTATTGTGAGGCCACGCCACAATCCCTCGTCCTCCATTTCTCCATCCGGTCGGGATTGGGGCACACACACACACATATGCGCCTTTTTCAAGCTGCAGATTCAAACCACAGTCAGCCACGTGGGATCCAGCTTCCTTAACTACTAGAGCACGGGGCTGGCCCAGGGCTGTGTGCTTTCTCCAAGAGCACAGAGGTGATTACAGCCAAGGGCAGCCTGCTGCCAAGGTCTTGGATCCAAAAGATGCAGGTTTGGGGTCTTTCTACCCTGCTCTCCCGCTCCGTAAGCCAGGAGGATAATTCATCTCAACGCGACTCAATTCTCCTACGGATGGAGCAGCTCCAGGCAGAGCAGACTGCGCTGGACAGACGTACCTGAAAGGCCCGCAGCTCAGGGACGGCCTGTACCGAACGATGGCGAACACGGTGGGCAGCATGCACAGGAAGAGCATGAACAGGAGCATCGCCAGGTAGAAGTTGTTGGATCTGCCGAGGAACCAGACGGTGCGTGTTGAGCTCACGCCGTAGCCAGCGGCTCAGGCTGTAAATTCCCGAAGAACCAGCACAGAAAGCACCACCCAGCTCCTCGCAAGCAGGAACATCCCTGTCCTGGCGGTACCAAGGAATGGGTCTGCCAAAGGGTCGCACACAGTGTACACCTTGAAACTGGTGCTCCAGGGGACTTGGCGGAGCCGCCAGTCCAATTGGGTATCAGAGAAACACTTGCTGAACACCCGTCAGCCCTGAGCCCACCTCTGCATCCACTGCTCCCACCACATAACCTTGACTGATGGAAAAGTCATAGAACGTTGCCCAGTGGCCTGGGTCCTGACCCAGCGGGTCCCACCCCCATCCCAGCCTTGAGCTCGCCTCCGATGTTGCAGGCTACTTTGGCTCTAGTGACGGTGATTTTCAGCTCTCTCTCACTTGGGTGCGATTTGTGCTCAGCTGTTTGTTGCTGTTTGTTTGTTTGTTTAGAATTATTTATGGGGCCAGCAGGTGGAGTGGTCGTTAGGGGCTCTGGACTTCCATGGCTGACTGTGATTCAAGTCCCAGACCAGCTTGCTTTCTCACTTTCCCTCCCTCCCTCTTTCTCTCTCTCTCACTCTGTCCCTGTTAGTCAAGTTAAAGTTAATTAATTAAAGCAATAATTAACATTTTTTTCCTTCAATTTTTCTACAGAGCATGTATACTCACCAGAGGGAGATGGAGATGGGGTTGGGGGGAGCGAGGGAAGGAGAGAAGGAGGGGGGGGAGAGAGAGAGAGAGAGAGGGAGAGAAAGAAAGAGAGAGAAAGAAAGAGGGAGGGAGAGAAAGTGAGAAAGCAACCCCCCAGGTCTGGGACTTGAACCACAGTTGGCCACGTGGGAGTCCACGCCTTAACCACCATGCCACCTGCTGGCCCTGCACTCAGCTTCTTATCCATTCTCCTCCTGGCTGATCAGGGTGAACATTCTGCCTGATTAAGAGCTAATCCCTGCATCCTGGGCCCTAAACTGGCTGATATCCGGGAGTTTGGCCACACACATACATACATATGATGAATATACATACACACATATATGTAAATAAAAACATTTCTGAATGTATGCATGTAAAATGTAAATACATTCTCTTGTAAGTTATGGTCAAAAAGTTTGAATGCTACTTTAAATAGACACCCATGAGAACGCTTCTGTCAAAGTAAAATAACTGAGCTCTAACAGATGTTTAAGATGTCTTATGAGCTGGGACCAGCAGTTAGCATAATGGCTATGTCGCTGGACTCCCATGTAGTCGACCGTGGTTTGAGTCTGGACCTGGTGGCTTAAACTCAAGCCAGGCACGTGTGTGTGCGTGCCCAAGATCCCAAGAGGAGAATGGAAGAGAAGGGATTGTGGTGTGGCCACCCCCCCTGGGGGGAGATTTCTCACTTTCTGTCTCTGTCTCTGTCTTTCTGGCAGCACACACACCCTAGAGCAAAAAATCCTCTCCAAAAAAAAAAAAAAAAAGATGTCTAATGCTAAAACTAAACAAAACAAAAACACAAAAAAGAGTGAGTGTGGAACTCCTGTGAGGCTGGAGGAAGAAGAACACGGAGCTCTGATCAAGTCTTGGTCACGGTCTACGTGGACACGTGCATGCTCTGTGACCAGTGGCTGCACTCGTTGGTGCAGTCCCAATGAAAGACTGAGGCCGATGTCCGAGGTGGCACCGTTAACTGTGGCTAGTAGTTAGACACAATCCGCCTGCCCACACACAGCGGGACGAGTAGAAACTGGAGGCTATCTCCCTCCTGAAACGAATCTCCCTGACACAAGGCTGAGGGGCAGAGACTGGACACGAAAGGGCACATGCTCTGGGCAATTCCACTTGCATAAAGTCCAACACCAAGCTCACCTCATTATGCCATTAGAAGTCAGCCGTGCCTGGGATCGCACATGGTGGGCGCCCAGGGAGCCATTCCTGTTTTGTTTCCAGTCTGGGTGCTGGTTACATACTGTGTTCAGTTTGTGAGAATCCAAGCTAAACATTGATGAATGGTGCTTCTTTTTCTAAGCTTTAGTAAAAAGTTATTATTATTTTTTTCTCAGAAGTTTTGTTTTTGTTTAGGGCATGTGCACTTGCTGGAGAGAGAAAGAGACAGAAAGCAAGAAATCTCCCCTCCTCCCCAGGTGGGATGAACACACTGCAATCCCTTCTCCTCCACTCTCCTCTTGGGATTTTGGGCACACACACGTGTGCACACCTGTGTGAATTTCAAGTCACCAGGTCCAGGACTTGAACCACAGTTGGTCACAACATGGGAATCCAGCACCTTAACCACCATGCCACCTGCTGGCCCCTGTTTTTTTTTCCCCAAGTGTCATGAGGATCAGCAGATGGCATGGAGATTAAGGCAGCTAGATCCTACACGGCTAACTCCACAGTTCGAGTCCTGGACCTGGCAAGTTGAAAATTATACCAAGTGCGTGTGTGTATGCGTGTGTATATACCCAAAATCCCAAGAGGAGAATGAGGGAGGTGGGATTGCAGTGTGGCTATCCCTCCTGGGGGTTATTTTCTTATTTTCCCTCTTTCTGTCTGTCTTTCTCTGCCAAGCATATGTGTCCATAGCAAAAACTAAAAAACAAAAATAAAAACAACCCAAAAAAGTATCATGATTCCAAGAGGAGTAATGACCAATTTCCAGGGTGAGGCATGGGGGGATGACTTCATTCAGGATTTTGACAAAGAGCTGGGGAGAATCGCTTGTTGGAGGACACCCCTGGAAAAGGCCCATGAGGTGACGCGAGTTCTCTGTGTGAAGCAGACCTTGTTCTCACTGACCTGGAGGCTCTGAAGACTTGCTGGTGGGGCACGTTGCAGGTCAGCACAGCCCAGCTCCGCAGGTACATGAGCCCAATGAGCTTGAGAACGTTGACTGCTGGGAGGCAGGGCGAGAAGAAGGCCCCCATCCTGGAAGGTCAGGAGGGTGAGTTTGCTTGGGTTCCGTTCCACTGCATCTTCCAGGGTGGTGGGCCAGAAATCCACCCAAGAATATGGTTCTAAGATTTCAGGGTTTCCATCTTGTGCTTGCAGCACTGGAGAAGCCTCCAGAAGGTCTGATACACCAAGCCTGTCTTTAGGAACAGGATTCCCTGGCCTGGGAGGTGCCCTCGGTGAACAGACTTTCCGACCATCTGTCTGTGTGCAGCCATCAGGGTGGGTCTGTCAGTCTTGGGCTCGTGGTTAAGTGAAAATGGGGAGGCCCTTTGGAAGCTGAGGGTGGGACGGGCCAAGCTCCCAGCTGTGACCACAACCACTCCTGTCATCCTCACTGGTGAAAAGCAGCCTCCTCCCAGCCTCCCCGGTCCTCTTCAGTGGCTTATCCTACTGGTTTCTGTGCAGAAATTGGGTGACGGGGTGTTAGTGGTGGTGGTGTGACCAGCAGTGGCTTCAAAATGGACTGTTTCTTCTATCATTCCTTTCTGCAAACTCCTTAGAAAGCCATGAATACAATTACTCCCTAAGAGAAACAGCGCCCTTGGAAACAGCCTTCCTTCGTGTTTACCGCTGCGTTTATAGTGGTCACATTCCACCCAGACTAACTACAGCCTCAGCCCGGGTGAGGTCGGTGTGAGCGACGACAAGAAGGCTCAGTACCTACCAGATCATCCCTTGGTTGTAGACTAAATGGAGCACGTTCTCAGCTATTTTGAATTCTCCATACTCGGGCTACGAGAGAAAGCGTTTTTGTGCATGAAACAAATCTCCCTGTTCTTTGCATACACCTGTTTGTTTCAGTCGCACAGAATTTTTTTCTTTTTCTTTTTTTTTTAAAAAGAATTATTTTATGTAACTTTATATATTTATTTATTTTAATTTTACTAGAGAGAGAGAGAGAGAAAGTAAGTGAGAAAGCGAGAAAGCAAGCCACCAGCTCCAGGACTCAAACCCGAGCTCCAGGACGCAAACCACGGTCAGCCATGTGAGAGTCCAGCGCCCTTAACCACCACGCCACCTGCTGGCCCCCGGAAAGAATTCTTTACTCATAGAGATCACTGCCTGTGTGGCCTACCCCCAAATGGGACCTGTAAGAAAAAGCTTTGGGGACCAACAGTTGGCGTAATGGCTATGTCGCTAGACTCCCATGTAGTCGACTGTGGTTCGAGTCCCAGACCCAGTGGCTTAAACTCACACCAGGCACACATGCATGTGTGCCCAAGATCCTGAGAGGAGAATGGGGTAGAAGGGATTGCTGTGTGGCCATCCCCCCTGGGGGGGGGGGGGTTTCTCGCGTTCTGTCTCTCTGTCTCTGTCTCTCTGAGTGCATGCGCCCTATAGCAAAAACCTCTCAAAAAAAAAAAAAAAACAAACAGAAAAGAAAGAAAAGGAAAAGCTTTGTACAGCGCTCCCCCCTTTCCTTATCCGCTTTCTGTCCGTGGCTCCCCTTACCCCACCTTCCCCAGCGAGGAACTGAGGCAGGGCACGGCATCTACTCACAAACTTGTTCTCCAGGTCCCAGCACCAGTAGTCACTCAGGTAGCGGACGAACAGGCCTCGGAAGAAGTCTATGAGCAGGATGCTGGCCACCGTGAAGAGCATGTCGATGATGGACAGCTTCAGCATCTCCTGAAACACAGGTGTCCACAGATGTCACCATGTCCTGCCCTCCCAAGACAGCTTCAGCATCTCCTGAAACACAGGTGTGGACAGAAGTCACCATGTCCTGCCCTCCCATGCCACCTCTTCCTGTGGGCCTGCACCAGGGCCATCTCCAATGGTGTCTGCGTTTTTCTTTTTTTTTAATATTGGTAGAAGGCACACGCAGTCCCTTCTCCATCTTCCCGTCTTCTTGTGACTTTGAGCACACATGCACACGTGCCTGGCATGTTTCTCAAGCCACTGGCCTGGGACTCAAACCATGTGCTCGGCCATGTGGGATCCAGCCCACTGAACCGCCACGCCACAGCTGGCCCCATTTGTCATCTTTATCAAGTGCAGTGGGCAGAGGGACAGGCTCCTTGAACGTAATGAGCGCTCAGTAAACAGTTGTTCATTTGACTCTGACCCTTGATGTCCAAGGCCAAGGTTACATGAACTAGGAAAGAAGCCACAGAAGATTCCTTGAGGCCTGGGACTCGTTCCCATGGGATAATACCTTGGGGTGAGATTCTCTGTGCAGGGCTAAGTGTGGAAGGTGAACAAATGGTTAAAACACAGAATTTGGAGCCAACGCTTAGGTTCGGGTCTTCACTCTGCTCTTCACCATCTGCGTCCCTGGCCAAGTTACTTATCTGTCCCTGCCTCAGTTGCCTCATCTGTGCCTAAACGACGATAATAATAATAAGACTCTCATGAGGACTGAGCACTTGGGTCAGGGACTAGTGCTCAGCTAAAACGGCACGAGTCTTTGCACTGATTATTACGATTAATTATGAGACCCGGAAAATCATAGCTTTACTGAAATCTCCTTTCCTTTTCTACCTAGTAGGGACAATGACACCTCGGGGAGTTGATGGGTTCCATTACGCAGTGGGTGCAAGGGGATCTGTGAGGATAAGGGCACCACCTGGCCAACGTATGTCTCCCAGCACTGGTCTTGGGGAGCCTGGGTGTAGACGGTGGTCTCATTGGCCTTTGCGAGTGGCATGGCGGAAGTCGCAAGACCAGTCTCTTCCAAGGCCCACGTGCTGCTTCTCCTGAGCCACCTTCCAGGCTGAAGCGTGGACCATTTCTCTTCTTCGGGGGCTGTCCTGGTGGCAAAGACGGTGGTAGAATCGAGCCAAGGACTTGTGTTATTTGGGGTAGCAACTTCCTGTGTAGAAAGGGAGGAGGGAAGGAAGAAAAAGGTCTAAGGAATCAGCCATGAATGTCCAGGATCTCATCACCCTGCTCGGGATTGATGCCTTCTCCCTCTCCCTCTCCCTCCACATAACTGACACAAGTGGGCCCCAGGAGTGGAACCCAGAGACGTAATGGATATTATTTTCCCTACTAAGTGAGTGAAACCGCTGCAGTTGTCTGTACCTATACTCACAAGAGTTTCAGGGGAAGCCCAGCAGTTGAAGCTAATGCCCGGGTCATGCAGTAAGAGCCGTCAGTAAGGGCCCAGCTCTGGGCAATCTCAACGCCCAGATACTAGCAGTTACTTCCTATGGCCTTTTCTGCCTACAGGTCTTTAAATCAAAAAAGAAATAATTAACATATAATCATTGTACTTATTTATGGGGGTGCAATGGGATTTCTTTCTTCATTCTTAATTATGCCATAGGGTACGTGTGCTCACCAGAGAGAGTGTAATAGAGAGATGGGGAAAGTGGGAAAGCACCCCTAGAGGGGATGGCCACACTGCAATCCCTTCTCCATTCTCGTTTTAGGATTGAGACCTAGAAAACCCATGTGCCCGGCATGTTTTCCAAGTCTCTGGGCCTGGAACTTGAACCGTGCAGTTAGCCATGTGGGATCCAGCTGCTGTAAGCACCATGCGTGCTGGCCCCATGATGGGATCTTTAGTACAAGAATGCAATGTATGATGACAATACCAGGGTAATTAGTTATAATACCAGGGTAATTAGGATACCTGTCATCTCAGCCGTTTGTCATCACTTCTTGGGAATATTCAAAACCCTCTCTTAAAAAAAATTCTACTGGGAACCAGCAGTTAGCGTAATGGCTATGTCGCTGGACTCCCACGTAGTCAACCACGGTTCGTGTCCCGGACCCGGTGGCTTAAAACTCACGCCGGGCACGTGTGCGTGCGTGCCCAAGATCCCGAGAGGAGAAGGGATTGTGGCGTGACCATCCCCCCTGGAGGGTGATTTCTCGCTTTCTGTCTCTATGTCTCTCTCTGTCTGTCTGGCGAGCGCACGCGCCCTACAGTGAAAATCTCTCCAAAAAAAAGAAAAAAAAATTCTACTTTACTATTTATTATCTATATTTAATTGGTGTACATCTCCTGGCATACAATATGCTTTTAAAAAAACATTTATTTAATTTTATGTATTCATTCAATCATTTTCATTTGACCAGAGAAAGACAGACACCCAGAGAGAAGGAAAGTGAGAAAGCAAGCCACCAGGTCCGGGACTCGAACAATAGTCGGCCATGTGGGAGTGTCCAGCGCCTCAACCACCAATGCCACCTGGCAGCCCCATACTTTCTCAAGGCATGCATACAGTGTGAGATGATCAAATCAAGGATATGACTATATACATCATTTTCAAGGAAACTTATCTTCTCGTGTCCATTAAATGCTTTCTTCTTGAGCCCCCTTACCCTGTCTTTTAGTTCCTTTGAAGTATACGTTAGTTGTTATTAACTATATTCTTCGTACTGTATTTTATAACGCTAGAAATTGTTCCTCTTTTCAGCCTGGAATTTTGTCTCTGTTCATCTTTGATCCTCTATTCTCCCATCTTTCCCAGCTTCTACCAATCATTTCTGAACAACAGTCAAGCCCATTGACGGACACGCCTTGCAGTTTGATGCTACTGAGAAATACCTTGGGCCAACGACCCTGAGACAGCTCCTCCTCCCTGGCTCCGTGCCCTGACCAGCCCACATATCCTTGCCGGGGAAGGAGGTTGAAAATGGTTGCCAGATACCCCAGGCTGGGAGTGGAGTCTCCTGCTGGGCTGGGCTGGGCGCACCCACTCTGAACGGTTCCCCATGTGATGTTCACTGTCTTGAATGAGCCCAGGGCCTGCTGCTCTTCCTGGGATCATTCACAATAGCTGCTGATGGGACTCGAGGAAACAGGACAGTCTGGTACCACATCCAAGGCCCCCAGTTCTCAACCCAGCGCTGTCACTTCCCAGCCAGGAGCCGAGTTTCTTCCACCCCTCCCTCTCCTTTCCTTCCTTCCTTTCTTTGACATCCCCACTGCCAGAAATGCTAGAGGGCATGCGTCTTGCCCAAGAAACAGAAAGAGGGGGAGAAAGCACCCCTCAGTGGGGCATGGTCATGCCACAATCCCTTCTCTTCCCTCTCCATCCTGTTTGGGTTTGGGGCATGCACACACATGGGTCCAGCTATTTTTTTAAGCTCCCAGGGCTTGACTTGGACTGCGGTCGGCCATGTGGGATCTGGTTCCCCTAACCCTAGTCCCCGAGGCCGACTCAAACCTGAGTTCCTGCATCTAGGTAGTGGGGCTAACTTTTCTATCCTTACCACGAGAGACCACAACTCAGCTGAGTTTCAGACATGACCCACGGAGTGGAAGTACCAGCAGTGGTGTTGACCAGGAGGCTGGTGAGCCTGGTGTGTGATTCCAGGCAGGGATGGCAGTGGTGGGACAGGTGACGTCCAGATGGGGCACTCACCTCAATGCTCATGCTGTTGACTTTGTCCAGGAGGGCGATGATCAGACTGTAGAGATTTCCCAGATACAGCACGAGGACCCTGAAAACCACAAGCCCACCCTGAGAGGCCAGATCGCCACACACAGGCCCACAGTTCTGGACCTACACCTGGTTCTAGATTATCATGGATATGTGAACACAGAGGCTGCCATGTTTCCTGCAGTCACCTCAAGGGTATGAAAAAAATGCCAGATTCAGGGCCAGAGGGTGGTATAATGGTTAAGTTGCTGGACTCCCACATGGCCGACTGTTCAAGTCCTAGACCTGGCAGCTTGAAACTCATGCCAGGTGTGTGTGTGTGTGTGCGTGCGCCCAAAATCCTGAGAGGAGAATGGAGGAGAAAGGATTGTGGTGTGGTCATACCCTCATACCCCGGGGGGAAGGGTGTGATTTCTCACTGTCTCTATCTCTGGTGAGTGCATACATCCTATAACAAAAATAGCTACCTCTCAAAAACAAACAAACAAAAAACCCCAAAAAACAAAAAACAGGATTCCAGAATTCCAGAGTCTATCCTGATTCAGTAGGTCTGGATGGGGTCTGAGATTTTTATTTTTTTTTTAATTTTTTTTTTAAGTTTTTATTACAGGGTGGGTGTGTTCACCAGAGAGAGAAAGTAAGTAAGAGATCACACCTCACACCCACCCCACCACCAGGGGTCTTGGCCACACTGCAATCCCCTCTCCTCGCTCCTCTCAGGATTTTGAGCACGCATGTACGTGCACTCAGCGTGATTTTCAAGCTTCGTGTCCAGGACTCAAACCCTACAGCTGGCCAAGTGGGACCCAGCACCTTAACCTCCATGCCACCTGCCGGCCTGAGAATCATTTTCATTGCCTTCCCAGGTGATTTCAGGCTAGCCCAGGACAGGACACTTTGGAACCAGCGGTGCAGCACAAAGCACGTGAAGTTCACAAGCAGGGCTGTGTCACGCCTGGTTTATAAAGTGCTTTTCCTCGCTCTACTGATTTATCCTCACAATAGCTCCGTGAGGGGCACGTGCTATAATCCCCCACGAACGGTATAAGGAAGTTGAATTACGTGGCGGGCTGCATCAAGAGGCAGGGTGTGACACTGGAGTGTCAGTGCTCTGCTTCTGCAATGACGCTGACCCCCTCAGGGGCCCCGAGGGGACCTGCAATGCTGCTGCACCGTGGACTAGGCCAGGGGCCATCACCACCCATGATCACGCCCTGATGTCAGTTGGAAGGGTTGGAGAACACGTCGTGGGATTTCCCAGGATGCAGCTTGGGGTCTTATGAGAAACCTGGCGGACGAGGGCTGAGCCTGAAGCATGGGCTGAAGTGCTGTGTATCGGGAGCCAGGTCTTAGTGGCCGACCACGGACTGAACCTTGTCTCCATGGCTTGACAAACACATCGGGTGCATGTGTGTCTGAAATCCAGATGGAATGAAAACATGGAGGAAAAAAGATTGCAGTATGCCCACAGCCTGCTGAGGGGGTGCATGCACTCTCGCTCTCTCTATGTGAGCATACAAAACCTCATGCAAAAAAAAAAAAAAAAAAGAGAAAGAATAAAAGAAGAAGAAGAAACCTAGAGAATGAGATGTGAAAGGAAAATGGCAGGTCTACAAATCCTTCAACAGGACCACAGAAAGCACTTTGAGAATCATGAAATGATGTTCCTTCCGGGGCCTGTGTGCTCACTGGAGAGAGAGAGAGAGACAGGGAGGGAAAGTGAGAAATCCCTTCCTGGAGGGATGGCCACACTGCAACCCCTTCTTCTCCACTTTTCTTTTGGGATTTTGTGACCGGTGTATTTTTCAAGCCTCCGGATCTGGGACTCGAACTGTGGAATTGGCCATGGAGCATCTAGTGCCTTAACCACTATGTCACCTGCTGGCCTGAAAATGCATCTGGATCTTGAGGACAAGACTCCAAGCTGAAACTACAAGGGGGCCACCCCTACCGGCTCCCTTATGCTCTTGGGTGCAGAGCCGGACACCTGTAAGAAGGTGTGGGCAGAGAAATGGGCAGGGTGGGCATCCCTCGGGGGCATCCGTGTGTCTCCCAGTGGCTTCCCCTCCGAAAGCGTCAGACTCCTCAGACATAGTGCCAGGAGCTCTCTCTCTGCATTAGAGGGCCTAGCACCGGCAAGCCCTCGGGTGCGCTCAGTGAAGAGCCGGTGCAGGAGGGAGTGAGACGTTTCACCTCCTGCTTTCTCGGCAATGCTGTTGTTCTCGCGTCCACTGAGCCCGGGATAGGAGGTGGAGCCGTCTGCTGGGGAGTTAATGGATGTGAAAGAATATGTCCTGCTGTTATTACCAAAATTAGACCTAATTTGTCTGGGGCGAGTCTCTTGATGCCTCTGTTTCTCCACTTTTGAACATGAATAACGAGGCCAATCTGTGTAATAGGATTGGCTTTCCACCAAATGCAATAATGGAATCGATTCTCTCCCATGCCTGCTGGCTGGGAGGAGCGGACAGAGGCGCTTCTCTCCTCCCGGTCAGGTGCTCAGAGGGGCCATGAGGGCCAGGGCTAGGAGCCAGGGGGCTGTGAGACTCATCCCTCACCTACCTGGACCTGGGAGGTGGTTCCTTCAAGCCCCATCCTTTTCCTGCCTCTTGCTGTTAGAAACTAAGTTTGGAAACGGGCCACGCCCTTTTGTTGCATAAAACCTGTGGTTACTTTTATGCTACGACCTCAGGGTCCAGTGGCTAGGATGGAAACGGTACGACCCCCCAAAATCAGAAATACTTGTTATCTGGTCACGTACAGGAGATGTTTGCTGACTGACTTCTGGAGGACAGAGGTCTTCCCGAAGTAGTCTGTGGAAATCAGTTCTGTAGACTGTCATCAGGCATGGCAAGAGAGAACACAGTAAAGCATTTACAGCGGGACTGGGGGACCAGGCCCTGACCTCCGCCTTCTACTGCATTCAATTTAACAAGATGTCACCTACGTGCCGTGGTTAAATTTATTGATGAGGTGCCCGTGCTCCAGGGAGAAGATGTGGATTTTTTCAGAAGACAGTGATGAAGCAGTGCGGTGTTCTGACCTGCAGGGGGCACCCTGGATGCTCTCTCAGAGGGACCAGCCCTTGCTGCTCAAGTCTGCCATGACCTCCTGTGGTGGCAACCTCTGCTGGTCCTGGACTGCCCCAGAAGTTTCCAGCCATATCCCCAACAGCCTCTCGAGTCTACACTTTGGGGAATTCTGAGCAAAGCATGAGCCATATCATATCCTATGTCTGGACAAACAACATGGGTCTCCTTCATCCCTTGTAGTCAACTAACAAAAGGGATTCAGCACAGAGGAGGACCAGACACACTCTGTCATCCTCATGGTCCTCCTCGGTATCTGCTCTTCCTGCCTGCCCTCCTCACCCCCTCTTCTTCCCTCGCTTCCCCTCTTCCCCTCTCTCCCCTTCACTACCCTTAAATCCTTTCCTCCTGTCTCCTCACTGCTCTTGCAACTTCCCTTTCTTCCCTCTCGTGTCCCGCCTCTTAAAGTCCACCCGGAGGTCAAGTTTGGGGCTAAGTATTGAAGACCAGAAGTCAGACCAGGCTTGGAGGGACTTCCCTTCCTGCCATGGGAATGGGCCCACAGGTGAGCTGCAGCGTGACGTCCCCCGGCTGGGTTGCCATACCTGGCCAGCTGGAAGCGCAGTGTGGTCCGTGGGTGGTACATCTCCAAGGCGGCGATGAGGTCAAAGGCTGACGGCGCCAGCATGGTGACGAGGGAGACCACCACGCTCACCTACGAGAGAGGACGCGCCAGACCCTCAGTCCCCAGGGCCCCTCCCCGGCCTCGCTCACCTGCACCTGCTCCTTGGAGCCTCACATGCAGTCAGTGGGTACCCAACGGCCATGTGGTTCCCTCATGGAAAGTCTCCCCAAGTCTCTGCTAATTAGCCTGTTTCAAAAGGACGCCAGCATTTTTTCTTTTTCTTTTCTTTTTTTTTTTTTTCTTTTTTTTGAAAGGGTTTTGCTATAGGGCAGGTACGCTCTCCAGAAAGACACAGACAGAGAGTCAGAAAGCGAGAAAGCCCCCCCCAGGGGGGATGGCCATGCCGCAATCTCTTTTCCTCCATTCTCCTCTCAGGATCTTGGGCACGCACGCACACACATGTGCCCAGTGTGAGTTCAAGCCACCGAGTCCGGGACTTGAACTGTGGTCAACTACATGGGAGTCCAGCAATGTAGCCATTACGCCAATTGCTGGTCCTGGATGTTAGCATTTTATTGTGGATTTATTCCTCTTAGAAACTCTCCTTGGGGCCGACAGGTGTTGTAGTGGTCACGTCGCTGGATTCCCACATGGCTGGCTGTGCTTCGAGTCCTGGACCTGGTGGCTTGAAAATCACTCCAGGTGTGTGTGCAAGCATGAGTGTGACCAAGAGCCTAGGAGGAGAACAGAGGAAAAGGGATTACGCTGTGGCCTCCCCTCCTAGGGTGGGGGGTGATTTCTCACTTTCCTGTCTCTGTCTCTCTCTATCTGGTAAGCATGTGTGTCCGATGGCAAAAATGTCTGAAAAAAAAGAAAGAAACTATGTGCTCTGAGGACACTCACCTGTCATTGGGGACCCAGCAGCATTTCTGCCACATTTCCCGAGGAACATTTCATTCTACTTCTACTTCCCTGACCTCGGATGGAAGATGAAAATCACTGCGAGCATTAGGAAGAGGAGAGGGAAGGCCGAGAGATGATTTACTGCTCTTTCTGGACACGGGCGTTTAATTATGGAGCGAAATATGCCCGTCTCTTGTTTCTCTGCACTTATGGTGGAAGAAAGAAGTTTTAGTTGCTATATAAGATGTTTGAGCTAAAATCAGAAATAATCTCTGAATGTATCTTTAAAAAGTCTATCCATCTATCTATCTGTAAACACGCAAACATTTATATAACCCACCCAACTGCCATAAGTTAGAGGGATAGGAAACGATTATACACTATTGTCTCATATTTTGATAAACTGTACGTTGACAAATAGGTATAGGATAAACTGAAGACCATCTTGTCACCTATATGCTTTATTTTATTTTTTTGCCATAGAATATGTATTCTTGCCAGAGAGAGAGAGAAAGAGAAACCATTTTCCCTGGGGAATGACTACGCTGCAGTCCCCTCCTCTTCAGCCTGCTCTTGGGGCCTTGGGCATATGTGTACATGCACCTGGCGTGATTTTCAAGCCGCCAGGTCTAGAACTTGAACAGCACACCTGGCCATGTGGGAGCCAGTGCCTTAACCTCCATGCTACTTGCTGGCCCTACACTTTGCTTTTTAAGTCTCAAAGGATGATAATTTCTATAGACATGGTCTGAGAAGAATTTTTTTTTTTTTAAGAGAGATTTTGGCTATTGGACAAAGAAACAGGGGGAGAGAGAGAGAGAGACAGACAGATAGACAGAAAGTGAGAAATCACTCCCCAGGGGAGAGAGCCATACCACAATCCCTTCTCCTTCATTCTCCTCTCAGGATTTTGGACACACACACACACTTGTGCCCAGCCTGAGTTTTAAGCTACCGGGTACAGGACTCGAAATGTGGTCAACTATGTGAGAGTCCAGAAATGTAACCATTACACCATCTGCTGGTTCCAGGAGAGACAGTTTTAACGCTATTTCTGCCTTTCAAATCTTTCCAGGTAAATTGAACAAATCTTTCAGGATAATGGTTTTCTCACACATCTTCAGAATTCTGAAGTTGCCCATAACCTTTCGCTTGGTAATTTTCTATTTATGGGAATATTCACACCATGAGGGAAAAGATTGTTTTTAAAAGCCAGCTGTGTGGAACTGGTTCTGGAAGCATTGTTTGTAATTAGCAATATGGAAACCACCTAAGTGTTAGGCAGTGGGCACCTGGTCACCCTTGATGGGGACAATGGAGTACGACACTGTCCTTAGGACAGATCTGCAGGTGAAGTCAACTTCTGAATGCATGGATGTGAAGAAATAGCTGTGGGAAATGCAAACTGCAGTCATCAAAGCTCAAACATCAAGAATAGTGTGGATACTTGAAGTGCTTTTGCATCAAAAGCTTTTCTGAAGGCCACTACGATCATTTAGTCAAGCCTTGGTGCTGCTACTCTACCTCAAAGCCTTAGTCATCCATGCTCCAGGACAAGAGAACTGAGCATTCTCCCTAAGAGGTTTCTACCTAACTCACTTAAGAAATAGAGGGATGCGCTACTTTCAGATCTTTCTGAGAGGGTGCATGGATACCTCGTTCTTCTCCCAAAGCGTCAGCTCCTTCTTGGACTGCTCCAGCTTCTGGGACCGGTCAACCACAAAGTAGATGAGATATATGCTCCCGGCCAGTGAGAGAAGCACCAGGATGTTGGCCACGATCCTCAGGCAGATGGTCACTGCCCTAAGGGAAGAGGCAGCATGAGGACGGGTCCAGGGGGTTCTGCTACATTGTCTGATCATGGTATCAGACGACGCCATACAGGGACAGGAACACATCCGCTGCTAGGTGGATTCTCTGCCCTGAAGAATCATTGCTCTTCCCTCTCCCTCCACCCCAGGACTCCTCATCTCCTAAGAAATCAGCAATGAATTATAAATCCAACCGGCCAGCATCTTGTAGGGCTCATAGGGCTATAAACAAACAACACTGTTTTGAGAGTCAGAGCATTTGAGTGGCAGTTCTTGCTCTGCCAATGTAAGACCGCAGTCCTCTGGTGTACACACTTAGGATATAAAAGTTCCATTCAAAGTTTCAGGGGAGGGAGGGAGAGGAGGAGGAGAGAAGCAGAGAAGGAGAGGAGGGAGGGAGACAACACGAATGATTTGCCTGTTGTTACATATGATGAATCCAGCATGGGCCCCTACATCTCCTTGACAGTTTACTGGCTATCTTTTTCCCTCTAGAACGTAACACAGCTCTGGAGATCCCAGGGAGAATCTAGAACTAAGGAAATCACCCTGGAAGGCTTGTGAAAACGAATTGGATCGTGTTGTGTCTAATGACTTCAAAGACTTGTTTCTAAATGCAGCGGACCCTAACAGCATCCATCTACTTACTGCTCCCTTAGCGAGTTAGAAATCGGTGCTATAAATACCTCTTTTATTCTCTACGTAAAAGAATGGGAAACGCGTCAGTTTCAGATCTCTGTCTTATTGCAGGATCTAGGAAGGAAGCAACACTTTTAAAGGCTGCTGTGAAAAATAAATTGTAGTGTGCCCTCAGATCACATTACTAGAAGGATGGGTATCAAGAACGGAGTTGCCTGACAATTGTGAAAATATGATGTAGATGATCTGGTTAATTTAAAAAATTTTTATTTTTATTACTTTTTTTGTAAGAGATTTTTGCTACAGGGTACAGAGCAAAGAGAGAGACAGAGAGATAGAAAGCAAGAAATCACTCTTTAGGGGGGATGGCCACACCACAATCTTTTCTCCTCTGAGTTTCAAGCCACCAGGCCCAGGACTCAAACTATGGGCAACCAAATTGAAGTCCAGCACCTTAGCCACTATGCCACCTGCGGACCCCAATTTATTACTACTTTTTAATCTGCTATAGGACACATGTGCTTACCAGAGAGAGACAGACACACAGAGTAAAAGAAGGAAAGTGAGAAAGCAAGATGCCAGGTCTAGCACTCGAACCATGGTCAACCATGAGGGAGGCCAGCACTTTAACCACCACGCTACCTGCAGGACCCAATCTGGTTCATTTCTATATCAAATTGAAATAAAACTTAATGAATTCAGTGCAGGGAATATTAATACCTACAGGTTTTTGCTTTTCTTCTTTTCCTGTTCTTCCAGTATAGCCTCCTTTAGAGAAAAAAAAAAAATACACAGTACAAAAGCTTAGCACTGTCATCAATTTCAAATCATGAGAAATGATTTATTTCCAATAATACAATGATAATATTACAACTTATGTCTTCAATGTCTGACTTTATTCTGTAAGAGTCTATTGATACAGGGAACCAGCAGTTAGCGTAATGGCTATGTCGCTGGACTCCCACGTGGTTGACCGCGGTTCGTGTCCCGGACCCGGTGGCTTAAAACTCACGCTGGGCGCGTGTGCGTGCGTGCCCAAGATCCCGAGAGGAGAATGGAGGAGAAGGGATTGCGGCGTGACCATCCCCCCTGGGGGGGTGATTTCTCGCTTTCTGTCTCTCTGTCTCTCTCTGTCTGTCTGGCGAGCGCACGCGCCCTATAGCCAAAACCTCTCCAAAAAAAAAAAAAGAAAAACAAAGTCTATTGATACAAATGAGTTGGATTTCAATTACTTAATAATCAATCATGAAAGAAGGGGGTAGGAAGAGAAAATGGAGGTCATGTGAGTGTGATAATTTACATGATCTAATTAAAAAATTTTGTCAGAGAGCACATGCACTTGCGGGAGAGACAGAGAGAGAGAGAGATGGATAGAGGGAAAGTGAGAAAGCACCCTTCATTTATGGGGAATGGTCACATACAATCCCTTCTCCTCCATCTCTCCCTCTTTTTGGGGATTTTGGGCACACACGTTCACGGACCCAGCATATTTCTCAAGCTGCCGAGTCCGGGACTTGAACCACATAGTTGGTCATGTGAAATCTAATTGTCTGGGACTTGAACCACATAGTTGGCCGTGTGAGAGCTAACTACTTAATTACCAGGCCACCATTTAGTTTTCTGTGTAGTTCCTAAATGTTTTTGATTGCCTTGTCTTTTGCATGAAAAATGAAAGTGTATATCCCCGACATATATGTACTAATTTTCAGGTTATATGCATACCACATGGTAACAATCCATCGTGGAAATCATAAAAAATGCACAAACTGAAATTTTGAAAGGATGAAATAAAAAATTAAAAAATAAAGAGAGGGACCCAGCATCAGTAGAGCACACGAAATGCCACTATACAGGAGGCTAGAAGACTCATGGGAAGCCTGCATTTGTCTGAGACGATGTCCTCCCTCTCATAAAGGAAAAATTAAAAAGTCCAGGTCTCCATATTTCCCTGTACTCCACGGAATCACCTGGTGCATTTCCTGGGGCACACTTGCCTCACTGCACAGACAATTGCACTGGACAGTAAATGCTATGGGAAGAGGACAGTGCTGACTCTTCCAGCAGAGGGCCAGTGGCTTGCACTGTAGAGGCCATGTGTCCAGACTCCACGGAGCCCTCCCCCCAGCCTGGACAGGCTCCCGTCCTCACCCTGATGCTGTTCACGATGGCAGCCGTTTTGCTCTCTGCAGCCTCTGGGTTTCCGATGAGATAATCCCAGGCACAAAACACCCGCCAGCAGAAGGTGTAGTTTTCATTAGAAGCACTGGCAAGGCTGGTGCGGGAGTTCTTAGCCATCCTGCGAGAGAGGACCCAGAACAGGGAAACACTGAGTCTCAGGAACAGGATTATCCAGGTAGGGCTGTTGCTAGCCTGCAGGGAGCCTCTGTGTGAACCAAAAAAGGTCCGCTCTGGGTAGATGCAGCTCTGTAGGTCATGATGGTGCAGGCTGAGCCCTGGCTGGATTCAGCAAACATCCTTTTCAACAGTGAAAACTATGATGGCCCATTACTGTGTGAGTCCATGACACAGGCAGTTCCACCACAGTTGTGGCCAACAAGTCAATATAGGTGTGTGTACCTGGAGTCAGCCAACCTAATGTCTATGCAGCCATGACTGTGCAATACCATTCATTCCTTCTTGGGGTTCTTATTTATGGGTAGCTAATCCCTGGTTGTGTTAACCTCACCCCTATAGAATATGCTGGGTCCCTCTTGGATGTGTTATTCCTTTAGATATTTGAAGGCAGGAGTCATAATCTCTCCTCAGGTGACACTCTCCCTCCTTTTTTCTTTCATCCATATTTCATGTTCCCAAGTTTGCTCTGATTTGTTCTTAAATCATAACATCAGAAAAAGGGCCTAAGTTTTCCAGGTGGGGTCTTGAGACACCAGGAGCTAAACTGGAAAGTTTCATGTCAACTGAAAGCTCCCAAGACTCTGAACATCTGCTAAGTTCGTTTATTTGACTGTTTATTATTATTTTTATCCCCAGCACTTCTATCTGCACTTTGCTAACATGCCCACATGGGGCAGAGTGATGAAGGCAGGGTAGCACAATCTGAGAGAAGTAGCTGGTGAGCCAAGGGGGTTGGAGGGCAGGTTCTTTCCTGGATTTGGGGCCTTTCTGTCAGTTTGCAATTATCTAGTGCCTATACAAAGCACAGAACATTAAGCTGGAAGGAACTTGGTGGTTTTCTAAGCCAACCTGCCCATTTTACAGATGAAGGCCAGACAGGAAGACGGAGTTGCTACAGGTCTCACAGCAATATGGGGCAGGACTTTATTTTGTGCTGCACCTTCTCTCAGGGATGAGTGCCAACCACATCAGAACAGAGATAAGCCTAGACTGCAGAATTTGTAGCTAGGTCACAGGCAAACATATAGGAGGATGTCTTGCTTTCTGCAAACTCTACATGTTATTCATGTCTCTATCATCACAGTTACTATGTTATCTAAATGACATTAATTATTAAGTCTGTACGAGTCCTGTCTCTCCAAACTTAATGCAGAACCTCTCACAAAGGAGCAAGTGCTTAATGAGCAGGAATCGAAATGGACAGACCTCTTGTAGCCTCGCCCGCCTCATCTATAAAACGGAAACAGCTATGACTTAGCTTCATAGGGTCTACGGACAAGACTAAAATGAGATCGCACATAACCTAATTCTGGACATGTGTTTTGAGAAATCGAGCAATCATACTTTTTTAAAAGAATGATGAAGCTGTAAGCAAACACCGCCATCCCCACCAGGAAATAGGCCAAGGGCAGCCGATAGCCAGCTCTCCCGATCTTCCTCTCCCTGCCATAGTAGCCATAGAAGAGGACTGAGTACTGGAGATAGCCCTGCAAAAAGAATACTTGGTGTCACTTCTGATTCTTAGGTCCCAGAACCACAGCCCACTGACCCGCTTCCTCAAGGCAAGAGTAGGGCTGAACATCAACCTCACCCCCAGGGACCAGACGGTGTCCAGGTCTTGGGCAGACGCAGCATGCTCCTTGGGGATGGTCTTGCTGGTGGTGCTTCCAAAGGGCTGGCCTGCAATCAACTGATAAGAGAGGGAAGGACGTCACGAGGGCCTCTGGGTGGAGGGAACCAGGAGGAAAGGGGCAGCTGACATTCGTGTACCTGTAAATACACTACAGGGAAGAGCTCTCCAGTGGGTGGATTTCTGCTTGATTTTCATTGTTAGAAAATTAACCATAGGTGACCAGAGTTCCTTTTTGCCTGATCAGGGTCTGCTTGGGTGAATTCTCTCTGGGCTAGACGTTGCTCCCATGGGTGGATTGCTGAGGTCACGGACTTACTATGATGGCTTGGGAAGTGGTCCCATTTGCTATGTAAAGACAAAGCTGGCTGCAAACGGGTTTTTCTTTAACACTGAATTGGCAAACTGGTCCACCACCCAAAGGTGGCCTAGCACCAATTTTTGTATGGCATGAGATGAAGGTTTTTTATTTTTTTTAAATGGTTGGGGGGAGGGGTCAAAAGAAGAACCATATTTTGTGACACATAAAAATGAAACGACATTCAAAGTTCAGCATCTATAACTAAAACTGCATTGGGGACAGAGCCAAGCTCGCTGGTGAATGTGCTACCCACAGCAGCAGGTGTGCTACGTGGCCGACCTGAGAGCTGCGACAGAAACTGTGGCCCACTGGGCCCAAAATGTTTACTCCATGACCTTTCCCAGAAAAAGTTTGTCAACTCCTATTTTTTTTTTTTTAAGAGAGATTTTTGGTACAGGGCACGTGCACTCCCCGGAGAGAAAGAGAAAGACAGAAAGCAAAAAAAATCCCCCCCCGCCCCAGGGTTGGAGGAGTGGCCACAGAGCAATCCCTTCTCCTCCATTTTCCTCTTGGGATTTTGGGCACGCACACACATGCATCCAGCATGAAGTTTAAGCTGCCAGGTCTGGGACTTGAACTGTAGTCAACTACGTGAGAGCCCAGTGACATAACCATTGTGGTATCTGCTAGTCCTGCCAACTCCTGTTCTAGCACTTGCATTATCCTTTCTACAAGGCTAACAAGAGTTTCACACTATTGCTTTAACATCCCTCTTTTTAAAAAGCCTATTTTTATTTATTTCCCTAGAAAAAGAGAGAGGGAGAAAGGGAGGGAGGGAGGGAGAGAGAGAGAGAGAGACATCCCTGATAAGGTCCTCCTGCTGCATCCCCGCCCCACCCCCAAGTCCTGCAGCCATAGACAGGCCCCAGTGTGTCCAAGGAGACCAGAACTCGAACCCAGAGCCTGCCCATATGGCCTCCAGCATCACGCAGCGGCATCCCTACTGCCCGTGCCACTGTGGTTTGGCCGTAACATTTTCTCCTTTTAGCAAAAAGCATGTTTTGCTCCCCTAAAATGGTTCTTACCTCTGGAATAACAATGAAAGCACCTGTCATAATTGTGAGCACAATATTAATTCCAAATAACCATCTCAAGAAGATGAAATAGGAGGCGACACCTGATCCAAAATGACCTAAAGAAAGATGAGATAATGACAACAGTTTATATGAAATCTCCACGGTGCCAGAAATTCTCCAGAAAGCAATACTATACGTTTTCTTATGCCAGCGGGGGACAGAGTGAGAATGTCATTGTACAGGGACCAGCAATTGGTGTAATGGCTGTGTTGCCGGACTCCCATGTAGTTGACCGTGGTTCAAGTCCTGGACCCAGTGGCTTAAACTGACACCAGGTGCGTGTGCATGCGTGTCCAAGACCCTGAGAGGAGAATGGAGGAGAAGAGATTGCAGCGTGGCCATCCCCCCTGGGGGGTGATTTCTCGCTTTCTGTCTCTCTGTCTTTCTGGCGAGTGTACGTGCTCTACAGCAAAAATCTCTAAAAAAATAAAAAAAATAAAATAATGTCATTGTACCAATCAGAATGTCGGCCACCAAAATAGTCATTTTGAACGTACCAAGATGCCCTTGAACGCCTACTAGTTTCAAATGTAGAAAAAAGAAAAAAAACCCTATGTTGACTAAATGCTATTTGATAATTGTTTCTCAGTGACATTTCATGTAAAGTGTGCTTACAAGATTTATAGTATTTCATGCATGGTAAGAACTATCAGTATCTTTTGAGAACTTGGTATAAATATTTTTATTTAGATGTTTCTGCCTTAGGGTATGTGTGCTTGCTGGGGAGACAGAGAATGACAGACAGAGATAGTGAGAAGGAAAGTGAGAAATCCTCCCCCAAGTGGGATGGCCACACCTTCTCCTCCATTCTCCTCCTGGGATCTTGGGCATGCACGCACATATGCCCGGTGTGAATTTAAGCCACTGGGTCTGGGACTCGAACTGCGGTCAACTATATGGGAGCCCAGCAACATAGCCATTACATTAACTGCTGATCCCACATTTCTAGAATTTTTAATTTAAATCTACTTTTTGTTTCTCATAACAAGTAGAAAAAAAAATGTCACAAACAAAAAATCTATTTGAAGATCACTGTATTAAAATGAGGATTCTAATTGGTTTCTACTAAACTTTTAGGGCATTATTCTATATACTTAAATTATTTTTGTATAAAATTAGCATTACTCTACAACATGTATCTTCACTTATCAATATATTATATACATTTTCTCTTGCCAAAAATACCCTTCTATTAAACAAATTTTGTTCAAATAGTAAATCTTTCTGTGTCTCTTCACAAGACTTTTACACAGTATGGCCCAATTTTACAGTTTATTTTATACTCACTATTTTAAAACTTATTTAATTTTATTTATTATTATTATTTTTAATTTGACCAGAGAGAGACAGAAAGTGAGAAAGCAAGCCGCCAGGCCCAGGACTCGAACCATGGTCAGTCATGTGGGAACCCAGCATCTTAACCACTATACCGCCTGCGGTCCTTATTTTAGGCTTACTGTTAAGCTCATGCTTCATGCTGTCTGTACGTTCTGTGTGTGGGTTTATAGCTGCTATTGTGGATGTGATCTTATTCTTTTAGGGTATTTTTTTAGGGTATATTCTTTCAGGGTATTCTCAGTGGTTCCAGTCATCTGTATGAAAATGCAAATTTTCCTGCTTGTGTTTTGCAGTTCTGTGTCTGCCCTCTTATTCATCACTGTCTTTTGTGTGGTTCTTCCTGGGGTTTGCGCTGTGTGGGAATGAACAAACTGGGACAGGACGCCAACTTGTGGCAGAATGTGGAAAGGCACCAGCAGGGCCTGTCCCATCCTGGAAGGTGATGGGGATGACACCGAGTCTCCCATCGCCACTGTCCCAACTGGAGCCTGGTCACAACCTGCTGTGCAAATGCCCTCAGGGCCGCCCCGTGTTGGGACCGGGACACAGAATGCGTAGGCAGCATCCCGCCCCACTCCTCCAAACGCAAATACTCACTCTCGATTTTCTTTATCCTCATTTCCCAGGGGATGAAGATGACCACAAAGTTACAGGCGAGGCGCGCCAGTTTCCGCCAGAGCTGGAGAGAGAAGGATCGGAGAGTGCCACGTTCAGGAAGACGGCCATGCCCATGGGGCACGAGGGTCCTGAATGGAGGGGCTCCCAGACACACTGGCTGGTACCGCAGTTACCACAGCCTTTTAGCAAAGTCAGGCTAAAGTACACTCCCTCGTCCTCTCTGTGCTCCTGACAGGTAGGAGGACACCTGCCTTGGGCTCTGAGCTGTGGGTTGTGTGTTGAGGTGCATATTATTTTTTCTCTTCCCTTCCTTTCATGTCTTTTTTTTTTTTTTAAGACGTTTTTGCTACAGGGAACATGTGCTCACTAGAGAGAGAGAGAGACAGTGAGGGGGAATGCGAGAAATCACCCTCCCCAGTGGGGGTGGTCATGCTATAATCCCTTCTCCTCCATTCTCCTCCTGGATCTTGGGCATGTACTCACATGTACCTAGCATAATTTTCAAGCCATCCAATCTGGGACTAGAACCACTGTTGACCGTGTGGGAATCCAGTGACATAACCACTACGCCACCTGCCGGCCCCAAGGTGCACATTCTCTAGGGTCACAGCTTGGCTTATTCATATTATTCCTGGTGCAGGGTCTAAGAGCAATGGAAATTATGAGAGGAATGCCATCTAAACACACCTACTTGACCTGCCCACAGACCTTAGGTAGCTCTGGGAGTGGGGCCAGGAATCCTCAGGGCTAACTCACTGCCCAGTCAGGAACAGTTCACATCCCTGTTGAGGACCAAGGGTCTCGAACCTGCCCTGAAACTGCCCACATCTTGCAGTTTCCCAAGCTCTCTCATGCTCCAAGCTGCTAGGGATAAAGTCTGGGGATGTGTCTTGTGAGTTTAGGATGCAAATGCTAAAAAAAAAAACGGTGTTTTGTTTTGTTTTTCCGGCTCTGGCTTCCAACCATGTCGGTGGGTTGTACATCTTAACACCCAAATAATCTGGGTGTGTGTTGGAAGCAAATGATATCGCTGCAGAAAGAGGAGTTTCAAATGTAATTACCGCACGCCCAACGCTAAGACAGCACACGGCCCCAGCACAGAGCAGATGATGATGTCATTCTGGCCCTGTCTGCGGAGGCCAGAGAGGCTGCTAGGAAAGTCTGAATTTTATCAGAAGTTGGAATTGCTTATTTGCTCGTGATTCAAGACTCAACTCAAACACGGCCACTCCCATGAAGATGCCACAGGAGTGTCTGCTGCCAGAAATAAATTCTGCCATCTGTCACCTGCTCAAACAACAGTGGTGGTCTCTCCTACACGTGTCTATTAGCTCCTCCCCGGTGTTACCTTCATGGCGTTCCCCTGGCTTGTCTCCTAGAGCAGAGAGGAAGCCCGCGGGTTTCTTACTGTTTATTTCTTAGTATTATTATTATTTTTTTAGAGAGATTTTTGCTATATGGTGAGTGCACTCACCAGAGAGTCAGAGACAGACAGAAATCAAGAAATCACCCCCCAGGGAGGATGGCCACACCACAATCCCTTTCC